AAGAGATTTCTTGGTATTTCTCAGTAATGTGAATGGAGGAACAGAGCACCACACCTTAAAAAGAGCCCATCTGTTTTTTCATATGTCTTTATCCTTGGAGATGTTATAACCTTGACTGGGTATGAGCCTAGACAACCTGATGTAATCAAAAGCTGGCTCTGCCTTGAATCACAGTTGGACCAGTTATCTCCAGAGGGCCCTTTCAGCCTGAATGAGTCCTTGAGCTCCCTTTCCATTGACTATGGAGGTGCTACTGTAGCAACACTCATAAATGACATATTTATCTGAATTAAGCAAGAAATATATGGGGTCCCTGTGGTTCCATTATGTGCCTAGGCTAAGTCTAGCACTCTGCTCAAAAGAAGAGTAGACGGCTTGTCACCTGAATTGTGGACAGCGGCAGGCTTATATTCAAAAAAATTCTGGAGAAATCTGATCCAGTTTGTTACAAAGACTAAAAAACCACAGTTGTTGGATTTTGTCTTCTTCATACAAGTAAGTTCTTAGTATTGTTTGGAGAAACTTAAAAGGAGTCTTTCCCAGCAGATTTGCATTTCCCACCTCCTACTTTCTATTGCAGGATTAAGCTTAATTTATGGTGAACTGCAGGATCTACAAGATTTTGAATGCCAGTGAGTAACAGTGAAGGAGGGAATTTTTTTAGATATTTTCTGGCTGGATAGCCCATATGCTCTAGATTGTACCCAAAGTGCCATTATGTGGATGGTACTATGCTGCTGGTGCGGCTCTAAGTTATGATTACCATTGAGTGGGAATACCCAGGTTTTCAAAGAAGAATTGGAAAGCATGGGCTTTAGCATGAAAAATCACTTGGCTAGGTGCTTATAGTCTTTTATGGGTTGGACAGTCTGTACTGTGACATATGCACATTTATATAGGCCTGCTTATTTTTACCGCTATTGTCACTCAAGTTACCCAACTCAAAGCTACTGCTTTTGTACAACACTGTGTTTGGAAGTTCCTACACTGGGTATGGTATAAACATATCCTGATAATGTGAAGGGTAGCTACTGCAGTGTCTCAATATGGCAAAATTACTGGTTGAGAAAGTTCCCCCTCCCCAACTGCCATTTCATTCATGCTGGTAAGCTTAAAATTGTATAGCTACGCAGAATGTGCTCAGTAAGAATGTAGCACTCATTTTTGTTATTAAAAGGATTTATTTAATACATGGTTGAAGACCGTTTAAGTTGTTTTCAGTATGTTAAATATTTGTGATATGTTTTTAATGAATGCTTCTGTCTTAGGACTTTTAAGTGTCTCAACTTTTTTCATTCTTTTTTTTTTTAAGGAAAAAAGTAGCTAATGTGTTTTGATATAATTAATAGATGGAAGTGTGGGGGGCTGGTCAGCTGTGTTCCGCAATAGTTGCCAAAGAAAGCTTGGGGACTTGGAACTTTTACTGGTTTTAGGGCCTTCTCTTTTCTTCACCTCTGTATTAAGTTTGAATTCTTTTTTCATCTCAGTACCAGTTCTTTCTCCTGTTATGACTGTTGCCTCTTCAGATTAAAATGCCACAAATCTCTGACCTCCAGGCCAGTTAGTACTAAATGCTGAATGATGTGTTTTTCTCATTCTTGTGCACTCATCACAGCCACCCATTTATGAGCCAGCTGTTGAACTTGACGGCAGCTGTGGGGTGTGGAAACTGAATGCCAGGCACTCTTTTGAATTAGAGCTGCTCCCTAATGCACCATCGGGGTACCATTGGAGGAGGAGTTCCATTAACTTTTCTCTATGGGTGTTCTGTGCAGCTGGGAAAGATGTTATATCTTCAGATCAGACTGATTTTTGTTAGCTTTAATATGCATTTTAAAACTATTTAGGTCAAATTACTCATTAATGATTTCTTTCCTTGCTTTGGAAATGTTAAATTTATTGGTCTAAAGTTTAGTTAGTGATTTCATTGCATTACACACTCGTGTTAATGAATGCTCCATTCACACTGTAATTGGTCTGCAGAAGCGTTGGAAAGCTTCTGCTCTTATGTTCTGGGCACCAGCTGGAAATGCTGCTTTTCTGGATTTGTACAAAATACTTTTGTACTGGTAGAGAACAATTTGTTGTTCTTTGACAATTCATTACTTTGTCTCATCTATAACCTTACCGTTCACAAATTAAACAAATAGATTTCCGCCCACTGGAGCAAAGTATTGTGTATACACTTTGTCTTTTGTTTTGAAAGACAGACCTGTCTATTCTTCATGAAGAGGTCTATTTCAGGGTAGATTCTTTCAACAGGGTTTGTTTTATCTATAACAGAAGGCACAGATGTAAAAAAAACCCCACCCCTATAATTATGCGTATAAATGGAACATCTGATTTTATTTGACAGAACAGTAATGAAAGTTGGTGGCAAAGTCTGCTTCCAATAAGTTTAGTCCAGGTTTGTAAAATCAGAAAATGAACTGTATAACTTCTATAAAAAAAGGATTATTATTCTCATCTTGCAGCATATTCTGTATTATATGTTCTTTTCTCCTACTTTATAGTGATAAAAGATAAAGCACCCAAAGTAGCATATACTCAGGAATCCTAGTTTTCTGCTGTAGTTATGCCATGCTATATTCTATACTTATTTACTTTATTTACTTTTTACTGTATCTAAAATTTAAGAGTTTAAGCTGCTACTTTGTAGTTGGAAGGTTATGGCTGTGTATCATTTCAGAATGGAATTCATGCCAAAACTGAAAACCTAGGATTATAACTATAGTTGAAGTGAGTCTTGGCTAAAATTATTTGAAGACTTCTGTTGTCTTCTAAGGCCTTTCTATGTCAAGGCTCTTGCAGCAGATAGCAGTTTTTCTGACTTAAGCAGAATAAATGGTATCCAGATTTTTTGGAGGAGTGTTTTATATCTCTTCCTTTGCAACGACGTTATGGATTGTGCATCTCTGGAAGACTTACAGTAGCTATGAAATGTAGAGGTCACAGACTTCTTACAGCAAGAAATGTGAAATTATTCTTTTTTTTTTTTTAAATGATGTCTGTAAAAATGATAAAAAGGGGGTTTTGTATTTAATTTATAAACAGTACTTGTCTAATATACACATGCTACATTTGTGATGAAATCAACTTGGAAAGGTAATTTACAACAGGGAATTTAGTATTTTGGGTCATATTCCTAGAAGCTTTATCAGCAGAGGTGATCTACATTAAGGATTTGCACTAGTGCAAAACCACATAGTTCCACATTCTCCTAATCCATACAGACCCATAAAACTGTAGCCTAGTATGTTTTGTCTCCTTGAAATAAATTTGACTTTGGGTGTAAAAGCCTGTAATAAGGACTGAGGGATAAGGTACTGGAAAACAATTACTGCATCTGGAGTTTGGTTCCATAGACTGACGAGTCACATTATAACCAGTATCCCCTACTTGGCTGGGTAAGGCAAGAAACACTGGTAGAGGTGTGCCTTTGGCAACATTTGTGCTGGCACTGAGGTCCCCTCTGACTTTAAAGCTGCTAATATGTGCAGTGGTTTGCAAATGCAAATGTTGTCCTTGACCGTACAAGTCAGTTGCTAATCCTTCCCTACTCTGTGTATCTCTGCCGTTGAAATGTGCCAAGTCCTGCTGGCAGGCCGGTTGTGCGCATGTGTGTTTCTTCCATGTATTTGCTTGTGCATGTGTGTCTGGCCATGGGAAATAAAGGTTCAAACACTATATAAAGTAAATTCTCAGTAAGTGCAGTTAAAAGGCTTATGATTCTCGTCTCTCACTCAATCTATTTTCTAATGCCTATGGGTAAAGTTAGTAAACAGGATTGTCTGAGTTACTGATGAGTGTGTTACTGATTTGTTAGCCTCACTCCCCAATGTTATGTTTGTGGATGATCCATCACAAGAAAGTCTCTTTGCACGTATCAATAGTAACTGAAATGCTATGAGCTATTTAATAGGTTGCACGGGTTATATAAAAATTATATCGTTTTATATATACAGTTATATAAACATATTTTTGGTATTGAGGATAGAACACATTTAATAGTGAGGCATCTAAATATGAAAAACAGACTTTATGTGCATGGCCTAAAATAGAGCTGAGTATCTAGATTTGAACCTTGCCAGTGTATCAGTGTTAACATAATACATGTTAATAGAGAACTCTGCTTTGGGGGAGGTCAGAAAAAAAGCATGAAATTTGATTACGTTTTTCCAAGCACCTTTGAATGCTATCAGAACTAAAATGTATATGCCTTAAGACAAACAATGGGAATAATGAGTCTCTGGGGTTAAAGAGAAATACCATCTGAAGTAACTCTATATGGGGGTGTAAGCACAGACATGTAGAGATTATGTAGCCATTCTGAAAAGTCTGCTTGTGTCAATAAAAGGAGTATGAGAGAAAATTGCATTTGTCAAATGTAATTTGCTAGACCACCTCCACTGTAAGACTATCCACTTTTTAAAATTACAGGGCATAAATAGTCTAAAGCAATAAGACAACGATGAAGGGAGTGGCATTAAACAGTTTCATTTATGTGCATGGGTAGGGAGACTTGCTGGCAAATCACAAGTTCAATTTTAGAATTCTCTGGGTTATTTTAAAATAGAACAGATGTCTGAACAATACAAACTTTAACTGCACTGTATGAAAATACTTCATCTTCAGTCTGAAGTGATTTTAAATGCTGGTTGTGGGTTTCTTTTTTTTTTCAGAACTGGCTAGATTCTTCGAAGGAAATTAAGAGACAAATTCGAAGTAAGTACTTCTGTATTCAGATGTTACGCTCCTTTTAATTCCTCACAGAAATATTCTTCCTAAACCTGGTAGTCTGGATGTTGACTAAATTGTATACTTATAGCATTAAAATAATTTATATCTGATAATGACATATTCAGCCTTAGAACAGAAAGCAAAACTTCTATTTTTAACCACTGTCCAAGAGGAGAGAAAGAATAACTCCTCTCTGTGCTGTAGAATTTAATCATTATACTGTCTGCTGCCCCAAAATTTTCCTGTGTTGTACTCGATCTCTTTGCATCCTGAAACAGTAGATGTTTTTCACCTTTGTGCTGATATTTGGGTTATGGGATGGAGAATGCCATCTTGCAAAGATGGTTACGGTTGTTGCTATAGAGACTTTCTAAGTTCAACGGCTCACCAGAAGAATAAGAAACTATAAAAAGAGAATCAATTTGTCTTACAGAAAATGTCTATTCTTCAATACAGATCAGTCCAGCATTGCCTTTTTTGATGTGTCCACAATTTCCAGAATGGAGATGGAATAAAGAGCATAATCTTGGAATGTTTCGCTACAATGCTTTTCAGACTGAATCTGTGTGAAAAATCTTTCTACTTATTATACTCAATACACAAAGAGTAATTTATTTTACTCTGTTTGCATAAAACTCAGTCAAAACTCTTCACTAGCCAGGTAGCTTTTGTAGTAGATAGGGGAGTGAGTAGAGAGTAAATTGAGTCTTCCTGAGTCTACATGTCACAAAATAAGTAGCCACTAAGAAGTGCTAGACAGCCTTTGCCCTTACTGAAATTCTTCTCATTGCTTTATTCATTTGTGGCCGATGCAGGGTTTTTTTGTTGTTTTGTTTTTGACGGAAACCTTCTTTTGGTAGTGCCCGATAGGAAATGTAAGTGGGAAAGAGATGATGATGATAATAAGATTTACATGTGTACACTTTCGACACAACAAGAACTGAAGTTATTTAAGAAACTGACTTTGAGCTTTTGGGGAGAAATGTGATCCAGTGGGAGCACTTGTAATTAAGAACAGGGTGTGTGTTATTTACAATGATGAACAGGTGGTTTCTTTGCTATTGTTAACTTCCTGTTTTAAGGCAATGCTCACATTCTTCCAGAAATCATAGTGGTGTTAATTCTTTCTTGAGACCTTTCCCAACTGATGAAATCCCTTACTTAGGAAGGTGTGGTTTATATTTTCAGTAAAAAAAAAAAATCGAAGTTACAGAAGCTTCCTTGGAAACTTTTTTTAATCTAACATGCTTATGTATAAGCAAACTAGACTTATTAAAATGGTGAATGTACTAATATACTTACGCAAGTAAAGGCCATCCTTTTAATTAAGAAAAAGTTACTGATATTGTAACTTCTTATTCTGCAGGTCTTCAGTAAAAACATATTAGGTGTCCAAATACGTGGGCTAAATATGTTTTGTTTGGTTTTAATATTTGACAAAAGGTTGCAGACATTGATACTTTTTGTTACTGTCTTCTGTAGTGATCTGCATGCCGTATAGCCTATAAGTGTCTAAATCTGAAGTGTAAGAACTAGCCTGAAATTTTTTTGGATGCACTACACTACATTTTTTTAATACTGTATATGTACTAACAAAATATTTTAAGGGGATATAATTTTTCATACAGCATGATCTCCAATATAAAATCTAGGACTTCAAGTCCAGTTTCTTGAATTGGGCATTGTGACTAGAATTTTTTTCTCTGGTCTGTAGCACTTCAGAATTGGTAGGCATAGCGTATAAGGTAAACAACCAAGTAAGAACACCATTTTAAGGATTTTAAAATGGAACGTGCTTACACCAATTTGCAAGTAATCAACATACTGTCAGTTGTGTTCCTCATAATCAGTATATTAAAGTTTCCAGATGTTGGAATGTACTGCAAAGACAAATTTTATCCCCCACCTACATGAGTATCAAGTAATGAAGCTTTTCTTTGTTTCAGGCTTAGTACTAATTATATTTGTCTTTGAATCAAGAATGGAAATCTTCTCTACAAAAATGCTCAATTATAATAAATTTAAGGTATCTGTAAAACCTACCAGTCCATTTGAATGTTTGAAAAGAAGAAACTCATTTCTTTTTCTCTTGTACAGCACAAACTGAAGCACTAGCATGCTAGATAAGCATATCTGGGCAAATACATTGATCTGAACACACAAAGGCGACAAATTTGGAAGTGGAGTTCAGCGCGTCAGTTTGCAATTTAGTATTTATAACAATCTCTGTCTCTCCCTTACATGTGAGCAATACCAATACTCTGCATGGTGGACATGTTCATACCACCTGTGACTGGGGAAGATGCAATAAGGATCCTGTAGTCTCCCCCAAGTCATGTTCTGCATCAGGCTGTCTCTTGCTAAGTCAGGGTCCCCAGGCCTTGTACATTACATCTTATTTGTTCACGTTGGCCTTTGGCTGGGCAGTTATGTTGGATCTCAGCAATTACTGATGTTACTTCGGCTAATGAACGTGATCCACAAATTATTGGCTCTGTTCTCAAGGCTACAAAGGTGGCAAAAAGCTTGCTTACTTTCAGCCGGCCTGATCTCTTCAGGAAATTTAATTCTTGAGGTTTTTTTAACTCATGTAATTGGATATCTATGGGCATGTGTTAAAACCTCTAATTAATTCAATCAGGGACAGGTGGGGTAATTAAATTTCTGTTACTATCTTCTTGAAAATTGCTACAACTGAAGTGGATTCAGGCTTTTGCAAAATTAAGAACTTCAGCTTGAACATTGTGATGGTATAAGCAGTACCAACTGACCTTGGAATAGTGAAATCCCAGACTTCACAGAGGGTGTGGTGGTTCACCCTTATACCAAATTTAATTTGAGAGTTTATCTGTGTAAGATGTTGTACATTCAGTTAGTATAGAACACGCGATTTTCCACTCAGTTTTGTCTATAGTTATTTTCATAACTCTCATTCTCAGTGTAACAGAATTGAATGAGTAAACTACATAAGCCTGGTTTCATCATAGTGTTTATTGCAATTGAAGATCAATCTTTTGTCTGCAATTTAAATGTTCACAGTAATGGGTAAAGATTAGAGATGTTGAATGTATCAACCATCTGTTTTGGGAAGCCTAATTACTTGTTTTTATTGTTGGTGTAATTGAAGTATATGAAACTGAGTTATAGTCCTGGTTATCTTTCTCTTCACACAAATTTTGAAACTATCTTTGGGATATATCCTGGGTTTAGTGTGTATGTAATTTATTCTCTTCCATATGGCAATTAGATTTGAATGCTGCGTGGAATAGTTTAAATCCAAGTTAATGTTATGTCAATTAAATCTATTTCTAGTCTGCAGCACAATTAGTATTCTTATTGCAAAAAAATAATTCCATATTGCATTATCCTGTGTTATATATCTTGTAAGAAATGGAGAGGATTTGGATGTTCTGAGGGCAGAATAGACTGGTATAGGGTTTCTTTTGTACATTCTCACCGGATAAAGCATATATTTAACTGGTCTTGCTCTTGAAGTTAACTGTAAAATTGTCTTGCTGTCTTCTGTCAAGAGAATACTTATTTAGCCAGAATGATTCTAGAAACTCATCACTGTACCCAGGGTATGACTAATCTGATCTAATTTAGTTTTAAGTGTCTATGTAAGATAAATGCACTTGTTTTTTTGAAGGAACAGCCACTTTCAGGAGGTGAGTGAGTGCATCCTGAAATAGATGCCTCAGAGGGGAACCAAACCAAATGCCCCTTTTCTTCCATTGGCTATGAAGGGAGTCAGTGCTGTCTTGTGTATATAATTACATTTCATCAGTCTAGCATTGAAAAAAAACCTATATCCACTAGCATCAAAAGAGATAATGGCTATGGTGATAGAAAAGTTGTTTTCTTTTTGGAAAAGAATGATTAACTGAAGGACTGAAGACAGAAAACTTAATTTGCTTGCTACTTCATTCAGTTTAATTATTGAGAGGGGTGAGGGAAATCCTCTGTAATTCTATGGAAGTGGATTAGAACAGAACAGATGAAATAGTACACTAGGTAAGGCAGCTGGGGACAAATTTGGGCTAGAAGTTTAAACCTTTCTCTTTAATGGTGCTGAAGACATTTTTCAACATCCTTTTGTTAACGGGCATCTAGTCATTCAGGATGGAGAACTTAAAAACAGCCAAATGCAATACTGGCCTAGTCTTTGAGGCATACTTAGCCAGCAATTAAGGTAGTTCTGGGAATGTCATGGAGTTTAAATGTTTTGGTTTTTTACATTCTTGGTTCTATGCTACATTCTGCAACACAGCCTAAACAGCTGCTCAGGAAAGAGGATGATACAGAAGACTAATGATATGGTTAAATAGGTATATTTTTCAAATTACGCAGACCAAATGGTGATAAATTCATAAATTTATTTATATATATATATAATTTATATATACATAAGTTTATATATATATAATTATTATTATGTGAGAATAATATAACATGAGTCCAGAATTTTTCAGCACGTATTTAAGAAATCTAAAGTTAGAATTAATTAAGGAAAGGGCTTGCATTTTAAATGTACAGCTCTGGCTGTCAGATTTTAATGCTAACAAAACGTATGGTTATGGTCAGGCATCAAAATATGGGGGTCATTTTATGCAGGGTCACTTGATTTTATATCCATCTATTTCATATAAATAACTATCTGTAAAAGTTGTAGCTAATTTTGATATAAGCTACTTGCATTACAGGCTAGTTTATAGTTGAAGAGAACTAAGTACTTGTGCCAAGGGAACAGTTGTCCTGCAGAAGTACTTCTGTGTGTCTACTAATTACAAGGAATGATTTTGCAGTTTGGAAATAACTGAGTTTGTGAGCTGAATCTTGTCAGTCCAACCAGGACTGTCTATACTTTAATTTTTATGAATTTTTTAAAATGTGGCCTAGATATAGATCCTCCTTATTTCTTTGATTTTTCTTGATGGTAACTTAAGAAAAATTGTAGAAGTAATTTTCCTAATTTTATGGGGCATTTTTACATCTGCCTGTGCGTAGTGGATCTGTCCTAGTCACAGAGTACCCTAAAAGTCTTAGCTGAGACACAAGAGATATCACGAGTAAATGCCAGAAAAAGCCTTTACTGGAAAAAAACACTCACTGATTTCCCTGTTTAAATGGAATGAATCATGTTAATTGTATGCTGCTAGCTGGTTGGTTATATTGCATTCTTTTTCTCTAAGAATGTGCCTAAAGTTGCCACAGAAGCATTTTTGAGGTAACAAGCTGGCTAGAAAAATTCTTGACATTTCTATAGTCCATGCTATTAAACATCAAAACAGAGAGCCTTATCGGAGACAGAATGCTAAATATAATTTTAAATAATGAATTTATTTATTTGTTTGTTTGTCTTGGCCACCAATTCAAAGTGCCAGTAATTGTGTGCATTATTGTATGAAGACAATTACGTTTGTATGCCTCTGTTATGCTGCTATAAACAGTGTGCTGTCATGAGAAGTATAAATATAGACTGTGCACATTGTAATATACTTGCTAGTCTATATTCAGGGGATAAATGTGCTTTCAGTAATCTGGCAAAATATAAGGACACTGACTATCCAGAAAATATTTAGCACAAAGTCAACTATAACATTTTTTTCAATGGATTAGCTATGGAATTAGTATGAGTAGACATCTGAAATTTTTCACATAGTCTATACATCAGAGGATTTATGCTCATTTTAGCTTTTTATAGGGAATATAGACTTTATTTTTTTCTTCTTTTCCCTTCAAACAGTGTCTAGGTCTTCTGGCTACGGTGCTTTCTGAAAGTTAACTGTTGAAATGCTGACAAGAAAGAGAAATAGATTAAGCAGGAATTCATCTGTGACTAGTTTAACTGCAATATTAGACCAGGAAAAATTGCTTCATTCCAGGAAAACTCGAAGTGTGCTTTAGTAACTGTGGATGGACACATCTTTTATTTATCTTTCTCCATCCCACAGCCCTGTTAACGTGACAACTCTCCCTGAACACTTCATGCACAGATATTTTGCCCCAATTGCTTCTCTTCATCAGTTTGGCTTACTCAATATCAACAGCTTTACATTAAATGATGGTAATTCCCTGGGAGATAAATGATGGAAGTGGGCTAATCTATTCCATCTTTAATTCTGTTTGGTATGCTATATGTATTAATTGGTGTTTGATGCTTTTAAAGGTATTTTTTGTCTTAATTCTGCCTTACACTGGATTGCAGTAGATGATGCAATGAGGCATATTTTACCCAGTTCAGTACTGTATGTACATCTGATGAATTAAGCTGTCTTATTTAAGGAGTCCTGCCTTGTTTTGTAAGGAAATTTATCATTGTTCTAACAGATAATTGGTAACTGGGAACATTAGGATATGCTGAACCCCTGAGCTCTCAAAAGGAAAATAGTGACTTAGCAGGCAGGTGGAGAATGAACGTCACACTTAAGCAGAAATTGAAGTGCTCCAATGAATAGTCATGTCTGAAAAACTGAAATAATCTTTGAAATATTGAAAGACATTAGAAATCTTGACACAAAGCACCTCTTCACCTTTAACAGCTGGGAAATTTTAAACCAGGTTTTTTTTAAAGAAAATAACCTTAAACAAAAATGTCAGCACTCTTTTCTAGTATTATGTTGGAAATGGTATTTCAGTCTTTTTGTTGTTGTTAAAATACACATTTCTCAAAGCATGACTTATCTGTATAGGACAGATTTTTAAAAGTGTTTACGGTCCAAAATTCTTCATTAATGAGCTTTGTGGAATGATTAACTTTTTTACCAAATACTATTTTTTGCTAGGTCTTGTTTGAGATTAACAATTGGACATTTCCCATGTTTAGGTTTACCTTGGATATTCACCTTTAATGTGAAGTTTTATCCCCCTGATCCTTCACAGCTGACTGAAGACATCACTAGGTATGCATAGTTCCTAATTTTGAACTGAAAAATTACTGTTAGTCTGATTTGAAGGCCATATAAAATTTCTTCCTCAGTTTCTGGATGCCATAACAGGTTTGGCTATTACTGTAGAACACTATAGATATTCTTACATCAACTGTTTTTTGCAACAAGGTTGAAAAGGCAAAGTGAAAACTTCAGGAAGAAGCCTGAGAAAACAGAATTTAATGATAAGTGGGGATATGATTCAGGTGGGAGGTAAGATGTAAATGACCATATTTGAAAGAAGCCAGTGGTTTATTGTTGGGCTGCTGCTTTATTATATAGCAAATGAGGGTGTGGGGGTATTGATATTAAGAGCGAGGCTCAAGGGATCCCTAGGTACTTCAGTAATAATCTAGGTTAGGTTGTTGAAAACGTAGTTTTATACATATGCATTAAATAAAACCAGAAAACATAATAAAACCTGAAAATAATTCTGTTCCACAGTTCTTAGATAGAAAATACTTAGAATGCAGTGGATACTAGACACCTGAAAAGTAGCATTGCAAGACTAACATAACCAGGGGGTAGTGTGCAGGGAGTTGACACTCACTTTTTCAAGAGTTATGGAAAACCTAAACACTTAATTTTGGTTTGGAGTAGGCTGACTCTGCTGAGGCAGGATATATGTTACTACACGTCATGTCGGATCAGTTTTCTGCACAAAACAAGACAGCTGCGCAAGTGTGTAGCAGATATATCACTACAAAGGCATTTAGTATGTAGCGTAACTAAAAGAAGCTGTCTATGAAACCCTTCAGCACGTTGATTGGCTTTTCAATTGCATGCTCAACTGATAGAGGCATTTTTATGGTTATAGCTTAAAGCTAAATTCCTTAAAATTTAAGCTTCACTTGTAGAACTTTTTTTTTAATACATTAAAAATCTGTCCTAGGGTAGGATGTCTACTGATTGTTAACTTGTTAAATTTGGTAGAAGGCTATATGCAGTACCTGAAATATTAAATTCTAATACATATGTGGTTTAAGGAAGGCAATTATGGGTTCACTACTCAACCAGATTTTTGTGTATTGCATGACTTGATTAGCTCATGAACTGCAAGGGATATAAAAGTTAGAATTCTAAAGCCAAAGGGAAATGTCAAAGGAAATGCACTGGGGTTTATTTGTAACCTTAGATACCTGCAGGCTACAACATGAAATGAAGGAGTTCTTAAGTCAGCTTTTGTTACAAACTACATAGTTTTTCATTCATTTATATTGGAAATCAGAATTTTTCCTGCTCTTCACATTATTTATGAAAATAGTATCGACTCTAAAAAATAGAAGTGAAATTTACTGTGTGGCAATAATGCTCAAAAAATGTAAGGTGTAGCAAATTATGAGTGCATTGACTTATTTTAAAATATGCTTGTATGATTACATGCATCTTGATAAATTTTGCCATATCTCCCATAAACTTGCCTTTGGTAACACTTTCTCTGTTCTTGTTTTTGTTTGATTTCCCCCCCCCCTTTCCTTTGTCTTGCAGATATTTCTTGTGCCTACAGCTTCGTCAGGATATTGCTTCTGGTCGACTGCCCTGTTCTTTTGTGACTCACGCCCTCCTTGGTTCATATACCCTGCAGGCTGAGCTGGGTGATCATGACCCTGAGGAGCACCGAAGTGACTATATCGGTGAATTCCAGTTTGCACCCAATCAGACTCAAGAAATGGAAGAGAAAGTAGCTGAGCTACACAAAACACACAGGTATGACACAATGGGATTAAATGAAGTCATCATGCTTTGTCACGTTTATTTCAGTTCTCTTAAGAGTATGTGTAAAACTGCTAAGCTGAAGCTATTGTTACTTTAGAAATCTTTTGTGATATAACTAGAACCTCTTACTTTCATGTGTTTAAAAATTTCAGTTTGAAAATAGTAGCCTCACTAAGACCTCAGAAGAGAACTTCTAGAGAAAATGTTTTTATTTGAGCGTATGAATTAGTTTAAGCAACGTGCAGTTGGAATATTTTGAAAGAGTGAAGGTGGAAAACTGTGCTGCTAAAGGAATATAATATGCTCTGAAAGAATACTTTCCCTTTAGGGCAAAAAAAATGCTACTGATACCTTAGAAAAAATTCAGTTTGTGTGTGTCTGAATTCCAAGATTCCACTCAGTCTTGATTCTCAGTTCTTTTGTCAATAAACTCAAGGCTTATTCAATGGTTTTAGGGGCTTGACTCCAGCACAGGCGGATTCCCAGTTCCTAGAAAATGCTAAGAGACTCTCCATGTACGGAGTGGATTTACATCATGCCAAGGTATTGGGGAATGGTTTGGTCTGGTTTTGTTTTAGGATAGACATGCGTAGTATTAAAGAACATACTATATATAGATTACTTAAAAAATTTCATACCATCAGTTGTTAGGTATAAGACTCTTATATCTTGGTCACAATAATTACTCAGTTTACAGCTCTAACATCCTCAGAATTTGTTTTAAATCTAAGTTTATTTAATGCATAGGCGTATGTGCAGCTTGGAAATAATATTTTATTCATAAAAGCAGCTAAATACTTCTCAAATGTCAGATTTTTTTATGCCAAGGAGACGTGGGACCATAAAGTAAAGCCTAAAAGAACACATAATTGTTTTTGCAATACCATGAGAGTTCAAAACAGTGGGGGGAGGTCTTGGGGGAGGGTGTTTTTTGGTGCTTTTTCCACTTCTCTGGGTGGGTCAAATCAAATTTGCATTTCTAGTTAAAAACCCAACTAACCAACCCACTCCCTCGCACAAATCCAGAGTCTCAAATCATTAGGAAAATTAATATGTTGTAAGTATATCGGTCCTATATTTAAAAAAGAAAATCAAGACTTAAGTACTGGAGAAATATTGTTTAATTCTGTTTCATATGGAAACAATGTGCACTTGTCTTTGCAGTTTTCCATAACTTTCCTGTGTTCTGTCAGAAACACTTGAAAGAAATATACTTAAATTTTTAGTCACATACATTAACTATGTCTGTAACATTTATTGGTTTTTTTTTTAATACAAGTGCAGTGTGGCAGTTCACTTGATCTGTAGTCTTTTAAGGAACTTAGACTTTTATAGAGTTTTATTGTAGCTTTCTTTTGCTGTAGTGAAGTAACTGCAAGCATTAGAACTGCTGTTTGCAGCTGTTAGTTATGCTAGTGAAGCAACTTTTTAATGACAGCGTTGGCTTTTGATGCAGTTGGTTTGTTGTTGGGGAGGACATGAGATTCTGCTGTATCGTGTAGTGGTACAGTGTATCAAAACCTTATCAATAAGTGATTAATTTTGTAGCTTTTAAAACTTGCATCAAATGCTGTCAGTGGTACAGAATGCTCAGAAACCCATCCCGCTAGCACTTTGAAATCATTATGTTGAGATTTTCAGCCAACTATCCGTTACTTGCTATATATTTACTGGAATAGTAGGCCACTGTAAAAGATCACCATGGTCACCAACTTGTTCAGACTATCAGTGCCTGCTTTAAGTTAAAGGCCTGTTTTTAATTTCTCTTCTTTTAATATTTGTTGAAATTATTGGTAGCACACCCACCATACCTCTCCTTGCTTGTAAGCTGCTAACTTAGTCCCTATTGCCAGAATATTGTAGAATTTCCCAGAACTGTGGGATATGTCTTATGAGGGCCAAAGCCCTTACTTAGAGGCCAAAGCCTTTCTTATAAAATTAATATGCCTGGCTATTCTGCTTTAAGAATCTCATTGTCAAGGTCTTTTGGGTTTGAATATGAAACAAGTCCCAGTTGTGTTATTCCCTCAAGGTATGCCAATGATAATTACTTATTTGGAACATTATTGTTTCACACGTGATAGGATTCTGAAGGTGTGGATATCATGCTGGGTGTATGTGCTAATGGACTGCTCATTTACAAAGATAGACTCCGGATCAACCGCTTTGCTTGGCCAAAAATTCTGAAGATTTCATATAAGCGAAGTAATTTCTACATCAAAGTCAGGCCAGCAGAAGTAAGTAGTACCTTTCTGTCTTGTTTCTTTTGTGACATCATTTCTATGCAGCAGCAAGATGACATCCTCGTTTGTTTCCCAGATGTCCTCACAGGCGTATATTGTATTTGAGCAGAACTTATGAGGGTTTTATTTTCCTCTTCAAATTCTACTGATTGTATTAACCACTTGTCTTGATTAGATTTTCTTCTTGTTTTGCATTTACTATTTTCTTTTGTTAATAGATTCCATCCCGTAACTTTTTTTTTTTACAAGGAAAGCTAGTTACACTGGCTGTGTTCTTATTGTCTATACAAACTTGCAGTCCTGCAGGAGGGCCAGCCTCTCTTCCTCCTTGGGTGAAAATTGTTCACTAAATGTCAATGCATCCAGTTGTATGGGTGTAACCAAAGACTTGATTTGTCCTGTAGGAGGTTATAACTCTTTCTGTTAGATGCTGTGGAAATAATGAATTCAACTTTCTTTTCAGATACCATTATAAGTTTGTGGGAGTTTCTGAAGGAGGGGGAGTTACTTTTTGAACACATTGTAACTGGAAATTGCAAAAATCCAAAATGTCAAACACTGTAATGCTTTTTTAAATTACACTCTAAAATGTTTAAGGTAGCTTCTACTGTGTGAATAAATAAAACAAAAGAGAAGTCTAAATACCAACAGTACAATACGGACATTGTAGTTTTGTAAGTTTTGGAACACAGATGTATTGTTCTTGCACTTGCTGATGATGCATAGATGTAATATTTTTGCTAAGAAACTATTATGTAGTGAAACAGATCAGGTAAGCTTCACACTACAGAATGGATTTCCGATTTTTATTAAATCCAAGGAAAGTGTGCAGCACAACATGCAGTACAATTACTTCATGCAGTTTAAAAATAAATACATTGGGCAGCTAGTCAGAAAATTAGCAAGGAACACTGAAATATTACTGGATTTCTCAAGACAGTCATTAGTACAGCTAAGAAGTGATAATGTGATTATTACCCATCATGACTAGCCTGTCAAGTATGATTTTATTAAAAGGCTGGAAATTCTGGTTTTGTTTTTTTTTTTTTTTTTAAACTTATGAAGCCTTATGAAAGGAGAGTTACAGCTTGTTACACTAGTGGAACTATCTGAACTCTGCCTGCTAGTTAATAGCCAGTTTAAGGAAATGGGTTAATTTATTTGTGGATTCTTTCCAGCTGGAACAGTTTGAGAGCACTATTGGGTTCAAACTGCCAAACCATCGGGCTGCTAAAAGGTTATGGAAAGTTTGTGTGGAGCACCATACTTTCTTCAGGTAAATAGTAATTCTCTGCTTCCACTGCTTTGCCAGGTATGGTCATACCTTTCTTTGAAATGATACGAGTAAAATAGAAGATTTCCCCTCTCTTTTGCCCTGAATTTCTCAGTCTAGTAACACCCCTTAGACAGAAGACACCCTACCAACCAAATTACCAGTACTGAAGGTCTCAAGTTCAATTAACTATTTAAACTTTCAGAGTGCTAACAGTATGGAACTAAACTAGTGATCCTAAGTAAGACTTGCTGAGAGATCAACTCTGCAGAGTGACCATCTACAAAGCCACTATGCTCTTTCAGAAGAAGCTCTCAGGGTTTGACAGTAATCTTCATTCACTTCACTTTTCAGAACATTCTGCTGAGTGTAAATGCTTACAGCAGAATTTTTGCTTATTTATAAACTAGGCTGAGTTCACAGCCATTCTTTAAAAAAAAACACAGAATCACTTTAAAAACAGATTATTATTTGTTTATACAATAACCCATAACTTTCTTTGCATTTTTTCTCCAGTAACTGATAAACATAAAATTCCAAATTGGTCATTGAAACTGTGTTCTATTTGTAAATGAGCACTTTAACAACAGGTTAGAGTTGTTTCTCTTTCTACTTTCTCCGTTAAAAAGGAATTTGAAAGATTTTGTTTGATTTTTATAATAGCACAAACTCCATGACGGTGTGCCTGTGCCCCATGCAGACTAGGAGTCACAGATTTATGTTGAATCTGTTATGCATTGAATAAACATTGAACCTGAGTTTCTTGCTTCAAATGAGCACAGTAGCTATGATATGTAAAAGGTAAGCTTTCTCCTTCAACAGCCTGTTCTTTTTATTTAAAAAAGCAATTGTCTTTTAAGGTAGATGCAATCCCATCTGCATACTGGTCTAAGCTGAATATACTTGCTAGACTGAGACCTTCAAAGAACTTGGGGAACGTGAGACCTAAGCAGTTCAATACTGGAACTTTCTCACTGGATGGTTTTCAGTATTCAGATTTTCACTGAATGCGGAATATTCTTGAATGCAATGTTAGAATTTGTGCTGAGATTGACAGTCAGTCTCAAAATGCTTAATTTAGAAGCACTTCTTTTTGAAATCCTGATCAAAGATATTTTTTTTAATGTTTGATGTAATTCATTATAATTCATTGGTTAGATTTATTAACATACATAGTCCACCATTCTATTCTTTAAAATTTGAAGTCTGCTTTGGCTGGTGATGTCTGTTACCACAAATAGCATGCAGTTCTGCCAGCAATGATAAGTTTATCAAGACTCTGCAAATAACTCATTCAGTGGTTTACTTTGGGAAACTGTATTTCCTGATTTTATAGTGATAAAATGGACCTGCATAGGGAAAAAACAAATCTTACGGAAGTCAAAAATCCTAAACAGAGAACTACCATTTGCAGATGTAAGTTTCCAGGAGCATTAATATGTATTAGATAATCTTACTACAGAAATTCTGACATAATAAAAGTAATTGGATTTTGTTCCAATCAGAAGTGTCTTTTCCTAACCAGGAACGACATTATAATGAGAATTATGTAACAAATACTTGAACCATTCTGTAAAATCCATATACTCCACTGATGTCATCAGACAGAAAATCCTCAGAACCTCTCATCCTGATTTAAAACCAGTAAAATAAATCCAGCTCTATTTTTCCTCCAAAGATAAAAAGCAGAAAGCAATTGCTACAGTCCAACAGACTGTAGCTCTTTCAGAGCACATGTAAAGCTTGTGTATGATACCACAGAAAATTGTGTTCAATCTAGATACACATTTTTTAGCTTCCAGATCTCTTCGCATGCCCTATATAACATTGTAAGATTCTTGTGTTGTCTTTTGCAATGTTTCAGTTTTTCTCAAATATTATATTAAGATCATCATCTTATAATGTATGGGAAATTCAGCCAGCATGTGAAATTATTTATAAAAATTTGTAATGAACTATATTGAAAATCAAAAGGCATTGGATTCACTTGTATCAGCTCAACCTTACGGGATTCCAGTAACTTTTTCAAAGAGCAACAATCTGATTTAAGAAATACGGTCAGACTATGTACCTACATTAATTTTTGAGGTAAGCTTAGTCTGCAACTCTGGATCTTAACCAATGGCTGCAGAAACCTGCTTATAATTCTGCTTTATGTTGTTTTATTTTAAAATTTCTTGATTGTTTCAGTGTCTCCCCAGAATGTCTTCAAGTGATAAAAGCATAGTCTTCAGTTATTTTCTATACTTAAGCTTGTAATACAAAAAATCCATTCAAATACTCTTAATCAGGAAGTAATTAGTTCTCTTGTTTTTTCCACATTAAAAGATTAAAAGTTTATCTCAGCAGGGTGGAAGATAAAAATGGCAGTTAATACTATAGCCTTGCCAAGACTGGAAAAGAACAGAAAGAACCTTGGAAAAACCCTCTTAGCCTTCTTCCTCTTAATGCATAATGCACTCTCTTTTGGAAATAACGTGGAGAAATAAGTTGTCACAAAGATTGCATAAGGCTGTTTTATAGATGCAATGAAAGTGAAGCTCCAAATACTTGTGATTTTATTATACAAGTGGCCTTCAAATCAAAAAGCTCTATCTGTAATGGTCTGATGGTTTTATATAGAGGGAGAATAGGCCATGGAGACTGCCATGCTGGGTGAGCACGTAGCTGCAGCACTATGTTGATCCAAGGGGCAACATTAAAGACCTTTCTAGAGAAGCTAAGACTAGGAAGAGTTTCTGCAGCGATGACTGTTTATCCTATCAGGAAGAATGGCACTGGAACAAACAGTACCCTCAGTGCTGAACCTGATAGCTTGGATTTCAAAAACAAAGTACAAGCAATGAGGGTTAGGTGAGTAAGAGCTTGAAGTTCTCACACTGAAGGAAAATCAGGGAAGTGGAGGACCTGTCTCTTCAAACTCATGTGGTGTCGAAAACTGGTGGAACAATGCAGAATCCCTCATAGCAAATTCTGCCACAATGTTACTTAAACTTCCTGATGTTAACACTTAGGCACAAACATATACACCCCACGTTAATAGTACTTGCAACTGAATCTCTTTTCACCCTTTTCATGATAGACTTCCTCGCGCCCCCACCCTCCCAAGCATTAACTTATACAAATCTATAAATAAATCTGTGAATCTCAATTTTTTTTCACTTGGTACAGCCTTCTATGCAGCTTTGAGATGCCATTCCCTGACTTTGAGGAATAGCAGCTGCCGCATCAGTACCTCAGAATGTAGGAAAGACAGTGAAGGTGGGATGTATAGTTTCTACTATTAGTAACATTCTAAGGAGAAACATTTGTGAGGTATTCTACATGGACCCATAATAGCCTCAGCTTTCTAGAAAAAGCACCATTTAACTAAGATAGCACCAAAAGATAAGGATCCCAGATGCTTAGTCATACTGTGCAAAATGTGATGGTTATCAGCATCACTTCAATTCCAACTGCAAATAATAAATAACATGCATTGTTTTAGAAGTTCTTCTCAGAGCTTATGGTAGAATCCTTTCTTGGAGTGCACAAATCACCCATGGTGAACTAAAGTTGAAACATAGTAAGTAGCTTTAAGGTGCCTCATTAAAGACATAAAATAAAGCCTTTTTAACTGGCATTCCTCATATTTACTTTATAGACTTGTATCACCAGAACAGCCTCCAAAAGCAAAGTTTCTGACCTTGGGTTCCAAGTTCCGCTACAGTGGACGCACGCAGGCACAGACACGACAGGCTAGCAACCTCATAGACAGACCAGCTCCGTACTTTGAGCGCACTTCAAGCAAACGTGTTTCCAGGAGCCTTGATGGAGGTATGAAATTTGACTTACTTCTTCAGTGTAATGATTATATTAGGTGCTGTCACTCTGATCTGACCAATATTAAAAAATGTTGACATTATGGGTGACCAGAATATGTCAATTGACAAATTTATGAATTTCAGTTTCTAATGGGTGATGTGAGGAGTAACCACTTCAGTTACTTGCCAATTTTAGGTGACCTAAACACTAAGTTAAGTCACTGTCTAAATTGTATGGCACTGCTGTTAATATATTGAGGATTCTATATTGGATGTACAGCATCTGTGTTCACTGCTCGTATCTGTTTTATGGGATAGGCATACGCTATATGCTGTTGATTATAATTGTTTGGTCAGCAGCATCTTTTGGGCTGTGGGTTGGCCTGAGTGCGCCTCTACACCAAACAGAAAAGGGAGAAGTTGGATTTTTTTTTTTCTAGTTTTGTATCATTTTGTTCAGTATATTGTTGTCCTAGTATATTTGTTTGTTACTTCTGGTTTTAGTTAACAAGTTTTATGCTGAGGTTGTTTGAATAGCTAAAATTTTTGTGTTGTTACTGGTGTTTGGTCTCTTTGAGCAGAAATATCTTCTGGTGTAATTTATTGGAAAGAGGCATGCTTTCCAAAGGCAGGTATAGCAGCAGTATGTGTGAGAGATGTAGAAGCACATGTTTGACTCTAAATCGCTTCTGAAATAAATATAACTGTCCTGGTTTCAGCTGGGATAGAGTTAATCTTCATAGTACTGTGTTTTGGATTTAGTACTAAAGAATGTTGATAACACACTGGTGTCTTAGTTGTTGCTAAGTAGTGCTTAGACTTTTTGAGCTTCTCTTGCTTGGCCAGGTGCATAACAAGCTGGGAGGGGGCACAGCTAGGACAGCTGACCCCAGCTGACCAAAGAGCTATTCCATACCATATAACGTCATGCTGGGGGGAGTTAGTCAGTCAGTTGTGGGGAGAGTAATCGTGGCTCAGACAGTGATCGCTGCTCGGGACGGGCTGGGCATCAGTCAGTGGGTGGTGAGCAGTTGCATTGTGCATCACTTGTTTTGTATATTCTGTATATTCTCTTACCATTATTATTACTACTACTGTTATTCTTTTCTCTTATTAAACTGTCTCTATCTCAACCCATGGGTCTTACTTCTTTTTTCCGATTCTATGCCCCATCCCACTAAGGGATGAGGGAGTAAGCGAACGGCTGCAGGGTGCTTAGTTGCCAGCCGGGTTAAACCACGACAATAATGCAGAAAAATTATTCAGAAAAATTATTTATGCTAGTGAAGTTGTGTATGCCTGAATCTAAGTGAACTGTGACAGTGGTATGACTTTAGCTACAATTCTGCTGTTAACTTTACCCTTTTTTTTTCTCCAGAAATCTTTTACTTAGAAGATTTTTAATTTTGAAAATGTATTTGCATTCTTCTATACTGGGACAAATGAGCAAACTGTGACACTTGCTTGGGAAACCTACAAAGTCTTACCTTCTGAGAACCTAAGCAAAAATGAGAGGCAAAAGTGCTTGTGCTGGTAGTGTCTGATGAGTCCTTGTGGCAACCAAAAGACTCATCACCACATCAGTGTTACTGTCTGAGTTGGTTTTAGTTCCTGTGCTTCCTTTGGTTCGAAAGAATTTGATTTCTGCCCAACTCTTGGAGACTGTATCAGCAAGCCTTTCTGAGATACCTTGTGCATCTTCTGATGAAAACAGAGGTGTATGCATGTGTGTTCAGCCCCAAACTTCCACTCCTATGGAGCCATCACAGTCAATATTTGAAGCGTGATGAAACATTGTTCTTGGTTTTCCTTTTTTTTTTTTTTTCCCCCCTTAATCATGTTTCGTTTCATCTCAAATGAAAACAAGCTATTCCTGGCAGGATTTAAGGCATCTTGCTGGTGTTGCCATCTGCAGGCTGTAATAGTTTTAAACTGTGTTCATTTGAAGTCAAACTTCAATATTGTTCTTTCTTCAGGCAGTAGTCCAGAAGTTGGCTCAATATTGTGAGTGTACACTTGGAAACGACAAATCCTGTGGAGGGTGCATTTGCACACTGCCTCTCTTTTGTGAGCAAAGAAATTATTACTCCTCTCTTATCCAGTACTTTGTGAAGACCATATCTGGAGTACTGTGTCCATCTTTGGGCTCCCCAGTATTAGCTGGGCATTGACATAAAATTTAAATACAATGAGCCCAGTAAGGGCCACCAAGCTGGCCAGAGGGCTGGGGGCCCGCAGTATATGAGGAAAAGCTGAGGGAACTGTGATCTTTCAGCTTTAAGAGGAGAAGGCTGTAGTGAGATATTGCTGTCTACAGATACCTATAGGGAAGGTACAGAAAAGACAGAGCCACGCTTTTCTCTGAGGTGCCCAGTAATAAGGCATTGGGAAGTGCCTGCAAGTTGAGACACAGCAAATTTCAGTTAGAAATAAGAAATTTTTGTTTGTTTAAAAAGACCTTGGATATACTTAGAACTCAACTGGACAAGTCCTTAGGCATCTGGTCTAATTGGACCTGCTCTGAGCAGGGGTTGGACTAGCTGACCTCAAGATGTTCCTTCTAACCTATACTATTCTGAGATTTGTCAAAAGTTACTTGTGGAACTTGAGGGACATATAGCCAAGAAATGCTCTATTTGCCACCAAGGGATCAGAAGCTTAAACTGCAGAGCTTACTACTTAGAGAAGCCCTGAAAGCCTAATATCCCAAATCCTACATTTGCCATTAGCTGGGCTTGGCTTCTTAGCAGCTTAATGGAGTCTCTGATGTGGAGCTGAAACTGTTTTCAAAAGTGGATATCCCTAAAGGTACTACAAGAAATGCCTCTTCCTCTCAACTTTCTGCACTTTGGCTTTGTAAAGTCAAGGCATATGGAGGTATTACAGAAGATTGCTAAATGAATTAAGTTTATATCAATTATATTAATTGATTAATTTAATGAATTCTTCTGTATTTCATTGGTACTATTTTGACTGACCCAGTCATCCTGATTTAAAAAAAAAACAACCACCAAACATCCTGCTCATTAATCCCATTATGCTGAATCAAATAAAAGAAAAAAACTAATTTAAGGCCTTTCACTCTCTTGTGCTTTGACTACACTCAAGTATACACATTCAGTATTTCCCCCTTCCTTTTTCGCAAGCATATAGGGAGGAAAAAATCTTACTTTCACTGATATGCTTTTTCTTCGTTTTGCTAAGGTTCGAGAATAAAAATACTGTAACAGTTATATGCATAGGTATTTCTATATTGCATTAGAACAGTCCTCTGAAAATAGTGAATTTTCACAAAACACTGTTGCCTATTTTTCTCTTTTGTTATGGTGATTTACACAGTCACAAGAGCAGTGCCTTCAATTTTTCTTCCAAGACTAATGAGAAAGTTGATAATTAAATACCTACCTGATATTTGAGGCTTTTTTCCCTTGCATAGTAAGTGCACATTGTATGACGAGGGTACACTGCTGTTCATATCAGTGCAATGAGAACCATAGACTTTTTGCAAAGCCAAGAAGCTGAAAAATACTGTATTGCTCACTAACTAGCCTGTATTGCTCATTGCTGACATCACCATAAAATCATTTTGTTAAGCTGTCTTAAAACTAAAATGTTCCAACTTACCCCAATTAACCAAAATTATTGTATTCTCTAATAGCTCCCATGGGTATCTCAGATCAAAGTCTGCTAAGAGACTTCCCTGCTGCTGGAGGGCAGGCTGCTGGAGATAAAATCATTGACCTTGAAGCTGCTGGTCAGGCCAAGTTAAAAGAAGGTGGCAGAGAAGAAGATGGAAGCCCAGTCAAAACTCCACAATTAGAGTTGACTCAGGATGGAAAGGTATGACTGACCTTTTCACCAAAATTACTTGTTCATGTGGTGTGTGTCCATGTGTGCTTCTTTAGTGCCTGTCACTTCTGAGCATCATACAGAACACCATATTCAAATATTACAGGAAAATTGTCAAGTGCTTTCTGTAGGTTTAACTCAATGTAAGCAAAAGAGAGTACAAATTTCTGAATGGCATTGACCTGGGGTTTCTTTTATTGCTATGAATTCAATTCAAATTCTCAGTAAGCTCGCATGAGTTCTTGAGAAATGTTTCAAGGGTAAATAATGTTTTATTCATTTTCACAGTTTGTTTAGATTTTGAAAAAAATTGTTAGTATATCCACAGTTGTGTACACTCTACTAAGTTGGGTATGACTGTGTTTACCATAGGTAACAGCATTGTTTCAGGAGCTGTTGCAGAATTATTTCAGCCTTTAAAACTTGTATGTTGACTGAGGCATAGATTTCTGAAAAGTTGAGTAGCTTGGTCTGCTCCTGTTGCAAAAATCATTTACTTGTCTTGTTTGTTTGAGCTACTGGGGGAATAGATCAAAAAATTAAATATAGATCTTGCACAATTTGATGTAAAAAATTTCCTTCCAAAGTGTCAGCTAAAAATCTGCTGCTCTTGTTTCTTGGAGAGCATTTCTTTTTCTAGTGGTTCTCCAGAACTTTCTCTCATATTTAAAGAGTAATTTTGTTTTCAAATGTTTTTGCAAGTTAGCTACCCATTTGATTTCCAGGGCACTGCTGAGTTACTCTCTGCAGTTCACATGTTCCCACTGCATTCAAGTGTAGGACTTGGAGAGCATTTCTTTTTCTAGTGGTTCTCCAGAACTTTCTCTCTTATTTAAAGAGTAATTTTGTTTTCAGATGTTTTTGCAAGTTAGCTACCCATTTGATTCCCAGGGCACTGCTGAGTTACTCTCTGCGGTTCACATGTTCCCACTGCATTCAAGTGTAGGAAGGAAACAAATACCAACAGTTGCATTTTTTTTTTGTTTGCTGGCAAGTTGAAATAATTTTGAATTAGCCTAGGAAAAAGGCACATGCAGAGTTTCTTTATGGGAGAAAATTGGTAAAATACATTACTATGTTTTGACTTTGGGCTTTGGTAAAATGGTGATACTCCCTTGTTTTCAAATCTTCTAATATTTTAACCAAAAAAAAAAAAAAAAAGAAAAGCAGTATTTTGGGAAGTTGTTCCAGGAAGCTGTTCAGTAAGGTTTTGTTACACATGCCAAAAGCAAGTAGCTTGCTTCCCCCCCTAGCGCAGATACCTCTTTTCCTTTCTGGCTCTCTTTAAGTCTTAGAGGAAATGGTTATAAACCCAAGAATCAAAGTGCCAGCTTGTCTTTCGTGTACTGCACTGTCCCCTGACCTTTCTGCCAAAGCTTTGAATGTCTGTCTGCTTCCATCTGTTGTAAGTGACTATTACAGTTCAAAAGTGCACAGTTCTTTACAGCCTGAGAACAAAACATTCGTAATGGGTTCCTTTCATAATCCACAGAAGTAAACAAGTTGGCTGCTTGTAAAACACAAGGGGACTTCTCTTTTTTTATTTGGCATTTCTATTGCGTTAGTAGAGTTATCCCTGCCTCTAAGTAAAAATTTTCACTAACTAATAATTTCTTTTTTTTCCCCTCTTCTTGTGCCTTCAAACTTGCATTTTATTGTGCTTTCATTTTCCACTGTGCACAGAATTTTTTTCTTCAGCTCACTCACATACAGTCATCATCACTACCCATCCATTCCATGTCATCCCATCTCACAAACCTGTCACCTGTCCCTGAGATCGACACGCTTTCTGACATTTCAGAGGAAGATCCCTTTGGGGAGCCCCTCCTTACCATTCCAGACATCTCAGAGTGCAATTCCATGAAAGAAACACCAGATCATAATAAAAACAAAATAGTTTCACCGAATAATATCTTTGAATCTATGAGACCCCCAGCTAGTCAAGGTTCCCCTGCTGTGGAGGGAAAAATCCATACAAATGACTACAAAAGCACTGAGTTGTATGTCTCATTCAGCTTTATCAGATGCTTTTCTTTTTATTTCCGTTCACTGCTTGATGAGGATGGTTATATTACTTTTCCTAGCCTTCCTGATGTTTGTGTCTCTTTCCTCCCACCTGGCCTTCAGCACTATATTCCTATTACCTCTCCTTCCTTCATCCCCTCTTTTCTCCTTATCTTTGTGCTGCTTCTGTCTGCTTTCCAGTCTATTCCTTTTTCACTCACATTTTCCCTTCCTCTTGCTCTGTCCCTCTGCTACCTGGAGCCTAAGCCGACTTCCTCTAGTGCCTCTAATGACAATGACCTGAATGACAAAGCAGAGGAAGAGGAGGTGTGTAATTTTGTTGCTTAAATGTTGACACTTGCACATAGCTTTCATGCTTGTTCTCCCAGAGGCTTGCTCAGTTGTGCACACTTCCTAGTATAGGGATGTCTACGTACATGCCCACATATATATAAAAAACTGTGAACACATAGGTATATGTGTATCTTTCTAACTTTTCTCGTTTGTGAAAAATTGCCATTGCAGGATTTTTAGTCAATAGGTAGCTTGTTTTTTCTTCCTGAATTCCTACAGCATGCATAGTTTCATTAGATTCCAGAGATACTGAGCTGCAGGTAGAGTTGCTTTGTAGTTCAAAATGTTTACGAGCACATAAATCTGAATACTGAAAGTACTGTGTAATAGTAGATATATATTATTACTTGATACTATTTGCAAGTTGTGCTACTTGCACTGTGAGTTTGTGTTAAAGTGCATGTCTCCTGTGTGCATTGACTGGAATGCACCTCTCCAAAGTTCTGTTTAGATCTGAAAAGTCAAATTCCTCAAAGCTGAATTAAGAAAACTGTAAATGCTTTAAATTCAGCTTTTTTCTTATTCCAGATTTCAGATGTTTCTGCTCTACAAGGGTGTGTGCAAAGTTGAGTCTGTCCAAGGCACCTTTTTTTTTTTTGTTTAAGTGTTTTTATTAATCTCTAGCAGAAGTTAAGGTGGAGACTGATTTATTTTCATTAGCTGGGATTGCAGGTTGTGTCAGACTTTAATCACTGGAGTCTGAACATTCTTTGAAATGCACTGTTAAAATTGCTGTACAGAAGCCTCAGTCACACTCTGATCTGGAGTGGTTGACAAAATGTCTCCTTTCCTTATGTCTGCTGTGCATGTTGCAGCAATACGACTGGAAAAAGGTGGTTTATTTTGATCTTCAAAGGAAATATGAAACCAAATGTTATAGAATCAAAAAGGGGAGGGCCTGTTCAAAGTTATATTTAACAAAGTTTGTTAAACTGAATAAATCAATACAATGTGCATATTAAAAGCATGCTAAATACAACACAATGCCGTTAAAAACACCATCTAAGTTTAAAATAATGAAAACTCTGACTTTAAAGACTTTCTCAGTTTTTCTGTAACCTAATTCAATCCATCATTTGTAACACAAAGTTGCAGAAAACAGAACCCCAGATCAGCGAGAAATGAATGAAAATGCGATATGTACCACATTATTTGTGCATTCACACAGAATCCAAAATGCAACAGTATGTGCAATAAGTAAACCCCTCTTCAAATTTATGTACTTGCACAGTGCTGACTTCTAGATGCATCTTTTCCTAAGATTAGCAGTTGATAGTTTTACCTGTGGAAAAACTGGGAAGTGATTTGCCTTTTAAAGCATGCTGTTCCTTAAGGCATTCAGAATACTTGTAGGTAAGATACAAAGATTAGCTATCATTTCCAACACAGTGTATTGCAGTTTGAGGAAGAATATATTCACCTAAAAAGAGGGGTGGGGTGCAAATAACTCATCCCAAGACAGCAACATTCTTAAAATAATTAAGACAGTTGCAAATGCAGTATTTAGGTGTTTGACCTGAATCCTAAACTCTCTTAACAAAACAACTCATGCTTTAGATTCCATTTTCCCATCAACTTGTTGCTAAGTTTAAGGCGCTTACCATAGAAATTACGCATATCACTTTTTTTTTCTTTACTCATTCTAAAATTTCCATCTGGGAGAACACTGACAAGTACAGCAAGAAAGGGACATAGTGTGAAACTTCCATTTTTCATGCCACTTATGCCAAGTATTACTTCAGCCATTCTACAACAATGCAGGTGAAGGAAGACCAAAGTCGCTTAATAATTTCAACAACATCTGGGTCCGAAAGAGTAAAGGTCTGTAAATATAGCACGCTTTGCAGCATTTACAAAGAGATGAAGCCTCTGTGTTAGTCTGTAAGAATATGTTAATGGTTCCTTTTCTTGATAATTTGCCACGTGCTCACGTAGGTGGAATCTGAAGAGGAGGAAGCACAGCAGAAGGTGCATGGTAGTTTTTTTTACAATTAAATCTGGTGGTACCTGCCTGCCTTGTTAGCACCCTAAACTTTCTGTGGTTTTAGTCTGAATTAGTGCCTTTTCACCTTACCATTTTGTTTCCTTTATTTAACTGTTTGATTCTAAGGGTCTTTTTTTATTTACTTGCTGGTACATTTTATGTTCATTTTGGGTTTGTGTTTTTTTTTTTTTTTCTTTTTTGTGTGTGTGTGTGGCTTAATTTCACAGAGCAATTCCTTGAGAGTAGATGGGGAAAATATTTATGTCAGACATAGCAATTTAATGTTGGAGGTTTGTATATAATATAAGAAACACTCTCCCTTCTCACGGGCTGCCAGGCTGCATGGTATGGGAGATCACTTGCAGGCTGTTACGGACACAGTGCATGAAGCGCATGGGGGAAAAACAGCTTGGAAATGTTGCATGTTATCATTCTAGTTTCTGAGTTTAAATTAAAGCAAAAACAAAACATAAAAAAAATCCAAACAAAAACCCCTCAGCTTGAATGTTGAATGTGCATTTTGTATATTTTTGCTAGATGTTTTCAAGGTGGCAACAGGGAATAATAGCCCTATTTAGATAAAGCAAACACATGGGTCCAATTCATAATCCTAAATGGGATTTGTATACATTGCTCCTGAATGTGTGCATCTTCTGTTGAGCAGGGTTTCTAGTTTTCACCAGTTTAATCAACCTTTATCAAATATGTTACCTGAATAAATGGAGTTAGTAAGGCACAAGCAGTGATAAAAGTATGGAAAAACTAATAGTGGTTCTGATGCTCATAAACTTTAGGAGCTTTGAGAAATGTATCTGATGATCAGATTTTTAAAGGGAATGTTTAGATATGCTGCCGAAATCTTTGCCTTATTTTTTCACTTTTCAAATGGAAGTAATTCTTGCTTCCTAAAAGTTGTTTTTCACTGAAGATGAGCAACAACAAAGAGCTTTAACGGTGTGTTAATGTGTAGTGCTTTGGCACTGAAGTAGAGATTTTTATTATAAGAATTTCCATATAGTCTGTTAGTCTGGATTATTTTATCAAAGAATGTCTGTAGTTATAATCAATGTCATTTAAGTTGTGGTTAATAACATAAACTAGTAACTAAAGAAATTTTAGACAATCCTAGTGCTGTCTTTAATTCACTTTATTCATCCAAATGGGGCTATAAATAATTCCCTTTGTCACAAAAACTGCCTTTTTAAAAATCATTGGTTTTGTTCAGTTAATAAGGAGATGTATGGATTGCAGTAACCCAACTAATACATTTTTGGCTTTTTGCAGCTTTTGATCACTATTGAAACTTCGCTTGTGTATAACTTACTAAAGCACTGAAAGTGTGCATTGCATAACTGTGCTTTGATCAAGTCCAAGAAATGTGCCTTGTGTCAAGCCAAGACAGGTTTTAAAATTATGACATGATTGCTACGAGCTTCAGTTGCCACAGAATGCCTTTGGCATAAGGTTTTACTTCACTCGTAAAATACATACTGTAGGGGGGCATATTTAATGTCTTGTTTGTTAGTCCTAGATAAAAAGTGAAGCATTGGTCCTGTGACAATATGCACCTACTGAGTTGCCCAGAAGGGAAAAGGTTCTTAGTGTGCAAAGTGGAGGTGTGAATATTTGCAGAATTTGGAACTAGACGTGCAGCATCAAACTGTTACTGATGCTGAACACGCAAGTGAAAAGAATTAGAAACTGGTGAGTTTGCATTGGGTTCAGATTTTTCATTATTTAAGACGGGCTGTCTTTGCATTGTGAGTACTGACTGTAAAAATCCTAACCAAAATGTTAAAGTAAAATTTCAAAATGTTCTGTTACAAAGTACATAAAATCTTTGTACAAACCCCATATGCTTTACCTAAATTACTGTATCTGATTACATTCCTTTGATAAAACTTCATTAATAATTATGTCTACATTGATATAATTTATTCTGTACTAAAAATGGATCTGAGGCTTAAAATCTAATTTCACCACAGAATGCTGAAAAAATATTCTTGTGTTAGAGTGTGCATAACCATCATAGGCTTTTCCCAAGACCTGACATGCTGGAAGGAGGACAGACTATCAAAGCAGAGTGAAATTTGCTCTTCCCCCCAAAGTCCAGCATTGTATTTAAAGGATAATGAACTTCCAAGAAAGCTAAGCAGCTAGATTTTTGCCTGTGTTAGGACAGTTATATTTCTGCATAGCTCCCGATCCTTATGTCTGCTCCTGTATCTGGTACAAAGTGAAAGACTGGCTTGTAGTTATTTGATCCAAGGTGCTGCAGTTTAGCCTCAATGGGTCATCACAGAATCTGATTCTATATTTGTGCAGTTGCCTATGTAGGTGCAGTTTTAAAGAGAACATCTCTTTGGTATTGGTGTGCACAAAAACTATCCCTACTTGGGCACTGTGTCTGCTGTCAGGTTCTTAAATGTGGAATTGGCAGATTCCAGGCTTTAAGTCTTTAAATGTGATTCTTCCAGTAAATTTAATCCGACATGACAGGCACAATGAGTAGTCCCTCTGAAGTTAAGCATGTGTTAGTTGCTTGCACGTTTGGCCCTGTAGTACTGTCTTCACAGAAGTATTTTTCATGGAGCTTGTAACATCAAGAAAGATACATTTTTATAATGCTGCTTGGGTTAATCCAGTCTTTCTTACATCTGCCTTCAGTAATGTTAGTTGTGCAATATCCCAAAACACTTGCTTTGCGCTTATAAATTTTAGACAAAAGCAAGCAACTACTGGAAATTACTATTGTTTCATGAGGCTAGTAGTTTCATGTTTTGGATGAAAATAGCCATCTGTTAAATAATAATGCACAGCATTGTTTTTCCTTTGCCTTAAAATATGGAAGAAACAGCGTATGACTGGCCCTTCATTAAAAAAAACCTAAACAAATCTTAGTTCCCTTACAGCCGTAAACTATTTTTAAGGCACTTCAAAGAGGAATAGCTCTTCAGACACAAGGCACTTTCCTTGGTTTGGTTTCTTTTTTTCTTTTTTCCTTTTTTTTTTTTCCCCCCCAGCTAAGTTTGCTTTTGTTGTCGTGTTTTGTCCTACTTTGTTTTACGTTGTGGGTTGCTAGGACCTGGATAAGACCCAGGACGACTTACTGAAACACCAGGCTAGCATTAGTGAGCTCAAGCGCAATTTCATGGAATCCACACCTGAACCACGCCCAAATGAATGGGAAAAGCGGCGTATCACACCTCTGTCCCTACAGACACAAGGGGTATGTCACTGTAGACACTTGTCTGCATGCGTTTCCATAGTCCTGTATGCAATATAGTAAATGCAGCTTGTCCTTCAGATTAATACTTTCTTTAGCTAATGTAATATTTGTTTATACTAAGTATACATTAACTTTTTACCATTTACCATCGGACCTGACCTTAAATGATGTGTGGAATTTTATCCTACAAGGACAACTTAATTAGAATCACTAGAAAAAAATGGAGGCGGTAGCAGTATTTTCCTGTGTGTTAAGGACAGCTTAAATTTTACTCTGATTCACACAGATTGATGGAGATAACTTTTCAGTGACAGTAGAACTTTTTCTTCCTTTTCCCTCTCTTCAACTCTTCATAGGCAGCTTGTGCATAAACACACACACAGCCTGTGTGTTGTTTCAGAAGGACCTTACACGATCAGTTAATTTACTGTGTTGACTTCTTGGGGACTTATTTAATGTGGTTGTTAAAATGTACTCAACCTTACTCTCTAAAAGTCTATAAAATGAATTTACCTACTTTTTCTCTATACCTCCTTCCTGACTGAACCTTAAAACAGCAGTTTGGGAAACTATTTTCTACAAATATCATCCTGAATGCTTGTGGCAAGAAAACTAGCTGTATAAATTTCTCTTGTTGTTGTGAAACTTTTAGTTTTGAGGAGTTATTTGCTGCTTCTTTCATAGAGTGGAAGAGCAAATCAGTCTTCAAAAGCAATCGATTTATCTTCTGTTGTTATCGTTGTCTTCCACCATTGTTCCTACCCTTCCCTCCTAAATGTATTGTTCTATCCCATTAAATTCTGAAGTATTCTCTTCAGTCCTCAGAGAGGTGAATTTTTAATTAAGCTTGCTTGATGCTACCAAATTATTTTTGTTAATAAGACATTACTTCAATAAGACACCTAAGCAATCTGAACTGTATGTACATACAGATAATACAGTCACTATCTGTATGGATCACTTCTTTAATGACTATTTTGTGAATTTCTTGGCAGTAACCATAAATTATTCTCAAATTTCTGAGTAGTACCTGAACATTTCTATGCTTAGTGGTATATGTGTAGGCACAAATGCTGGTCAAATTTTCAAATGTCCATGGCGCATTGGTTCATTTAATAGCTATACATATCTTTTTGGTTAAAATAGATATTTATGTAAAAATGTAACTTAAGTTTTGTTATGTGGTTGTGTGTATTTTCTGTGTTGATTTCTTCATGTTGAAGTTGAGGCCTCTCCAAGTTCTTTTATCTCTGTGGGGTTTTTTCCTCATCTAGTATGTTCTGTCACTTTCGGATGGTTTTATGTTTATGTGTGTTTGTCTCATTGCTTGTTGATTTACACCGGTTTTATAAAATGAAAACCAAATAGAAAAAAGGAGACCACATTTTCCAAATGAAAACTCTGCCTGGGAAGGAGAAGCAATGGACTGCAATGCCATGGATTGCTGGAGCAAAACCAGAGGAAACCGATAAGGTGGCTGCCCTGAAACCTACTGCCTTTTTGCTGTACCTGCTGTGGGCTAGCTTGGGCACTTCTTTCTTTTTCTTTTTTTTTTTTTTCCCTGATGGGGGTAACTTTTTTTAGGCCAGTACTGACAGGAGAAGGTCAAGTTGTAAAACAGGATCTGCATGTGTATATGTGTGTGTGCATATATATATATATACACACACACATATATGAATGGCAGCAACAGTCCACTTAAACACCAAACCAGCTGTGAAGTTCTGAATGGCTACTATTTGAAAAGAAAACTAATTTTTCACCGGAAAATTACTGTATCTTATGTGACTAGGATGACAGCAAAACATGTATTTCCATTCTGTATGGAAGTACTTGTCTGCAGTTATTTGACAGTTCACACAAGAACTTTAGCTTTACGTCTTCACTATGTAATCATTATTTAAATCAATAATGTTGTAGAAGCAGCTTATTTCAAAGGCCACCTGATTCTGAGTACCTCCATGCTGCTGTACCTCTTTTCATCCAAGAAAAGAGGGAGGAAGAAAAGAGGGAGGTTTTCTCCTCCCTAAGCTGGTTTAACATCTGTGCAGTGAAAAAGCACTATGTAACCAGTGGGACTGCTAGCAGTGTGGTGGTGATGATGGGTAGCAATTGTGATGTTGCTTTTTTACATCACTTTTGGACTGTTTTCTACCACCTAGGAATTGGGACAAAAGTAGGTTAATGTAAAGCTGTCAGTCCTATTTCAATAACATATATAAATATGGGGTTTGGGCAACAGTGTATTTCCATCCTGAATTATTTTTTGATGGATGTAGAGAAGTTCGAGTTCACGTGTTTTGTTACCCCCAATTTATAAACTTGCTGGTATTAGCAGACAAATACATTGCTCAGTCCTGTTCCTGGACTGTCTGTTTCCTTGCCTGTCTTGTAGGATAGTTGGACAACAGACAGGAATAAAGCAGGGGTACCACTGCTAATATTCTTTCTTTTCTTCCTTCTTTTGCTCCAGTGAAAATACTTGCAAATAAGTCATTTTCTGTGTATGAAAAATGTTATTTTGGGTACATCTCATTTGTGCCATTATACTTCTGTATCACCGTACTCCCACAAATGCACAGCATCTGTGACTTAATTATAACAGAAATTGTGACACATTGATACATATGTCACAAATAAATATGTGAAATGTTGGTATGCTATGGATACCCACAATATTTTATTTTTTTAATCCATTCCCCCCCTCCACTGCTTGTAAACATGATTTCATGTTAATGTATATGACTGTGTTCCAGAAGGGATTTGCCAGGAATTTAAACATTTTCACAGGCTGATTCATCAAATTACTGTAGTTACAATAATGTAAAGTGCCAATTCTATCTATACACTTAATCATCTTTACTAAATGGCTCCTCGGGGAACAGGGGTTACATTATCAAACAAATTGTGTGATTGAGGTTTTTCTTTTAAAAGATTAGAAGACCTAAAAATTTGAAGGTGGTAAAATGCAAAAAGATGGGTGGTGTGTGGCTGCCTTTAATTATATGCATATGGGGGGAGGGGGGAGAGAGAGGTGCACGCAGTCTGACCACACACCACATAAGGAATTTACCACCACACCCCACTTTTTTTTACTGCTTTGGGTAGTTGGAAAACATGTGGTACCAGAGTCCGGTAGGAGAAGTATCATGAACATTTTTATTAATAGGTGGCATCAAAAGGCAGATGAACATTTTTGGGGCCTGGTAAAATAGGAGAAGAAAGCGGGGGTGAGAAACACATTGCTCCAATGGCTATTGAACATTGCGTGAGGGCAGATTTGAACTTGCGAACTTGTGAACTCGCATTCACATCAAATTTTCTTAGCCACCCTTGAAATACACTTTAAATTTTATTGTAGGGGAAAAAAATATAGGGGTTCTTTTTCTTTTCCTTCTCTGTTGTTCTGCATGCCCTATGCATTGCAATATATGCACAGCAGCGTGGTGTGACTTACGTCGGTTCCTATTCTACATTGCTACTCACACGGCGAGTCTGCCCGGGCTGCAGTTGTCTGCATGGCACCTTGGCTTTCCTCCAGCCTCCGCTTCTGCGAGATTCCCTCTAGTACCGTTCTCTTAAGTCGGGAATGTATCTTGCTGAATGTTGCCAAAATGTGTGGTGTGTCCATGTTGCGTATTTGTTCCACTACTGGCTTTTTATTTTCACTGTTTTTAACTTAATACAAGAGCTCATGGAAGGAAAACTGGAATAAGGCGTCGTAGCCTTTCCAGAGGCTTGTACCCACATGAATTTCAAAAGTTTGCTTTACCATACGGATTTATAGTACTACAGAAAATAGACTGGACTATGAACATCTGCGTTAAAGCAACGTAACCTTTCATGTATGTTTGAATAAAACAAGCTTTCCCAGTAAAATGGGACAGGCTTTTTGAGAAAGAGATTTTTTTAATAGAAATGAATCTGCTTTAGGTTTTTTAAGCATTTGTAATGCATATATATGCATGTATGACAAAGACAATATATATTATGCTAGATATACACAATATACAAAACGTGTTACAAAGAAAACCCCGTTTCAGCATTGTGGGTATGCACTGTTCAAAGCAAATGTATTACCCTGCAGCTCCGAGCCGGCTGGCCATTAGGTGGTGTTAAAAATGGGGTTTCAACAGGGAAAAATCCCAATGGTAATTACGGAGCTGCTGCCCGAGTAAACTCTTCTGTCTGGGAAATCCGTGGCAACGTTAATGCTTTTTAACCGTTACAGCGTGACCTGCGGGGTGGAGGGCTGCGTGTTGCGGTGACAGCGGCTCCTGGTCCCGGCCGTTCCCGCCTCGCCCGGCGGGGGTCGGC